TCAAGTAAAGACGATCGTCAAATAGGCGCTGACATAATGCCGCTATTTTATTTTTTTCATATATGCATCATTTCTACATATAGATATACGAATGCAAGTGTGCGTGCTACGTTGCCATTTTAATTTTCTTACACATAGACGTTACATAAATGTGAATACCACGTTATTCCGTCCCGCCGATATTCGCATTCTCTCCGAAATAGGCTTTCGTTGCTTTTCTGATGAATTCTTCAAACTGCTTGTGTACTGGGTGAATCAAAGAGTTTTTTTTAGAGAAGTATGTTCTACGCATAAATGCAGTTTACGAATATTGTTTTGAAGAATATGTTATCTAATATGTGAGCTTTCTATATAATTTGCAATTTATTTTAAATATTAGATATTATTTTAGATATTATTTTAGTTATGCACTGAGCAATGTATCACTATATTTTCGCACGTAATTTTATCTTATAAATTGGAGCAGTAAGTGCGCTGTAATTTTTGCAAAAGGAAATCAGTGTCACAATAGTTCCACATCGTTTTTATTTCTGAGTGAGGAATAATCTATTTTATTTTTGCATGTACTTTCACCATACAAAAGCACTTTAATTCGGTCAAGTCAATACAAAGTAATATTTGTGGGAAAATCTCGTTGACGTGATATCGACACCCCTGCAAAACTTTCGTCGTGCTGACTGTACTAAATCAAAAACTCTTTGACATGGTGAAAGTACGTGTAAAAATAAAGCGGAACATTCCTCAATATGAGAGGAAAACGATAAAGAAATGCTACCATAACAAAATTACCGAATTCTTCTGTAAAGATTACTTCTTTCTACATGCGTACATACTTTCACCATGCAAAAGTGTTTTCGGCGCATGTAGAAAGAAATAATCTTTGCAAAAGAATTCGGTGTCAGGATAGTAATTGTCCCTTATCGTTTTAGCCTTATATTGAAGAATGCTCCGCTTTATTTTTGCACGCACTTTCATCAAAGGGTTTTTAATTTGATCCAATCAGTACTACGCGTCAACGACATTTTCCTACAAATATTACGTTGCATGGTGAAAGTACGTGCGAAAATGAAGCGGGGCATTTCTCAATATGAGAGGAAAACGATAAGAGACAGTTACTATCATGATACTGAATCTTTCAGCAAAGATTAGTTCTTTCTACATGCGTATTGACTTGACCAAATTAAAAATGCTTTTGTATGGTGAAAGTACATACAAAAATGAAATAGAGCATTCCTCACTCAGGGATGAAAACGATGTAGAACTATTGCTATTGTGACACTGATTTCCTTTTGCAAAAATTACAGCGCAATTACTGCTCCAATTTATATGATAAAATTGGGTGCGAATATACTATAGTGAAATATTGAATTTTAATTTCCATTGAAAATTATATAGAAAGCTCACATATTAGATAACATATATTCTTCAAAACAATATTCGTAAATTACTCTAATGCGTATAACATATTTCTCGAAAAAAACTCTTTCTTTGATGTACCCACGCTGAGAGAAAAATGTATGATATTTGGAACTATAATGGCATAGTAACAAGGTTATAGTTAGGAATATAATTTTTATAGTAAATGTTACCATAATATTTGTAATATTTACAATATAAGTATAGTATAACTGACCCGTGTAAAATTTTTACCAAGAATTATAATTATTTGAAATAAAAACTATAGTAATAAGGTGGCAAATATTGAACGGTAAGAGAAATTAATTATTTTATATAGTCAATACAATTGGAATATTTGGCAAATATAGATACATGTAACTATATTCCCAAAAGGTGTTTTATCATATATATAGAATAATAAGATGGTGACTATAAATCTGTGTTCATTCTACTATATCTTCATGTTTAGAT